CTGAAACAATATTTTCTTATAAGTTTACAATATCAAATTGAAATATTATATATGAATAAATAATAAATATTTTTCAGATTCATCCTCAAACATTAAGAGCAATATTTGTTTATATTTTTCTTCCTTGCCAGTTTAGAGTCATTTAGCAAATTCCAACGTTTCCTTTTTATCTCTTTATTTTTCTTCCTGCAGGGAGAAATTTTGGCGCGTAGGCAACAAGGAGCGAGACGGGGAATACGGAGCCTGCTTCTTCCCCCTGAGCAGGGGTTTACTTGTGGGACAGCCCCCCCTGCTGTACTGCGCTCGGCCGGGGTCCCGGATATGGGAGGCCAATTTTAACGGCGAGGTTCTGAGTACTCATCAGTTCAAACAACTGCTCGCCTGCCCCCCCCTACCTTTAATCACTTACAGGTGCATTTAGTTCTCTTTGTTTTGGGATCCAAGAAAAACTGGATTTATTAACGTGTCGTTTCTTCTTCTTTTTGCAGAAATGAGCCAAATTACAATCCAACACATAAAAGTGCGCAGTCTCTCTGCTTCCCTAAGCTGCTTTATTTTGGGTAAGATCTAAAAACAAAAACTCTTTGAGCTAGTTCTACTTTACAGAATACGACGGAGTATTAGGGCCAGGCTAGAGTAGTCGTAAACATTACGAGTAAAGTTGTAATATTACGAGAATGAAGTCATCATTCAACAACCTGTTTCAGAAAGAAAGCTTGGAGCTCCGCCCAGCAGATGACGGGCCCACCAGCTCCACCAATCAGCAATTCCACGTTCCTCATTTAAAAGAAGAAAGAGCTTATTGTAGGAGTTGTCATAAAATACAACTTGTTTCTCGTAATTTTAGGACTTTTCTTGTGACTTTATTCTCAAAATAATAGAAAAAAACTCTCGCCTGGCCCTAATACTCTGTCGTAACGGAAACCTGTCGATGGATTCAGTTTTTGCTTTACGTGTTTTTGCAGAGACCAAAACCTGCTTACCTGGACGGATTCAGCCATTTTCATCTTTACACCTCAAAATGGACAAGTCTTGCTGTGGACTGAAGTTAAAGGTTTGTTTTCTAACTCTAAATCTCTGAAGTGTGATTTTGAAAGTTGAATTTCATCACATAAACATCCTAAAGTCGCCGTTGCACAAATCGAAAGTTTGTTTCTTTTTATGTGATTCAACAAAGCAATGTGCTGAAATGAAAATTGTTTTGCAGACCTGGCTGATGTTGCCGTCCACCGTAACGAGCTGTTCTGTCTCCACGGCAGCGGCCGTCTGTCCCACCTGTCTCTGCTGTCTGCGGAGCGCTGTGTTGAACGTCTGCTGCGGAAAGAGTCTTGGACTCTGGCGGCTACCGTCTGCTGCATGTTTCAACACGCCATCATGACGAGCAGGGTGAGACGTACTGTCAATGACCCCGCCTCTCTGTGTGTAGCGTGTAACTGGATATTTATATTCCCCTCCTCTGCGATGAAATACAGAGCTAACCTTTTAACTGATAAGCTAACAAGAAACGATAATTAATTCTGTTTATTTAAATATATTGAATTACCAGAAACGGTAATTGCTGGAAGTGGCAGCCATAGTGTTTAGGGCACTCTGGGTCCCTGAGCAAGACCCCAAACCCCACACTGCTCCCCGGGCGCCGCACCATGGTGGCCCCCTGCTCCCCAAGGGGAGGGATTAAATGCAGAGGGACATTTCTCCATTGGGAGATCAATAAAGTTCAATTATATTATTAATTATATGAAAAAAATATATACTTAAGGGCACAAGAGTGAAAACCAGTGGCGGCTGATTAATAAAGGGCACCAGGGCAAAACTCACCCAGTGACTTTGATTAAAACATTAAGAAAAAAAATTTAATTATAGAATTAAAATATTCTTTAAATATACTAATATATTTTTAAGCTGTGCAAGACAAATATTTCATCTTTAATAACGTGTAAAGCTGATTGGTTCTCCGTCAGATTGATGTATTTTCATAAATCTTCCACCATAGACTCTGGTTAAAAGCTGTCCATGTGCAGGGCGTGCTTTGGTGGCGCAGTGATCTGTCCGCACGATCCAGGTACCGAGGCCTTAAGGCCTGGTTATCGTCCCGCAGCAGCGTGTGGCAGATATTTTTGATTTATTTTCAATATTGAAACGTGGTCTGCGCTATGTTATTCCACGCCACAACGCCAGAGGGCCAATCAGGAACTAGCTGATCTAGGTACGACCGAGGCGGTGAGGAAGTGGGGGCAGGCTTGTGCGACAACGGAGGGACATGAGGGCCAAAAAGAGCGGGGATCCAGGTGGAAAAAGGGTCCCAGCGTTCTCACGCACCTCGCTCTGCTAGCTGCTCCATCTT